TGCCAGACCTGACCCAGCAAGAGCCTGAGCCCTTCAGGCCCGATCAGCTCGGCAGGGAGCAGTGAGGAAGGCAAGCAGCAGTGCTCCGGAGGCGTGTTTTCTGCACCGGGAGACAACCAGCACCAGAGAGTCTACACGGCCACCCAGAACCAGTGAGAAGCAGCCCTGGATTGGCGAAAGATAAGTTCTTGCATACGGCCTACCACACGGATCAAAAACACCCCGCTTAGGGAAAAACCTCTCTCCCATTTACCTCCCTGCTCCCTGATCTGCACTGGGTCCCAGACTGGCTTCAGCAATTGCCAAGACCCCTGGGCCAGAAGTAGGATCTGTCACATGCCCGCAGCCATTCTCCCCGCCTTGGAGAGTGAATAAATTAACAAACAGGGGAAAAAATAAACTTCTGGCTCCCCTACGCCAGGAACCCAGGAAAGGCACAGCTCCTTTGCCTGTGGATCCATGGACTCAGAGTGCCTTTCCCCCAGCAGAGACTTGTGTAGGCCCATTTCAACAGCATAGGCCCTCATTACCACAGTACAACAGGGTATATACCAGAAGTCTAACTTCAACTGTTTCAGATGTGAAGTGGCAGGTTCTTGACATTTGACACTGCTCTGTCCATTAAGCAGGGTCTTCACCTATCGAAATCAGGGGCCTGAGGACTGGTGGCTCCACCCATGCCACCTAGCTACCTGCGATAGGGGCCCATGAATAAGAGATGCCCCCTAGTCCTTACAGCTAACAGCATTAGGTACTCATAGTCTGGCTGCAAAACCCACCCACCTATGCACTCTAGGGAACAGGAACACGGCTTCCTCCTGGACACCTGGGGACAGCCGTCAGCCCCCTGCCTTGCTTAGAGTGTGTCCCCCTGCTGCAGCCAGATGCCTGTACCTACACCACTCACCCACACCTGTCTAGGACTGTAAGTGACAGCCTACACTACACACTTGGTAGCTATCTACCTGGGCACCTGAGCTGAATCCATACAGGAGAAGTGGGCAGACGCCTGAGCTCACATACCTAGTAACAGATCTAACCACCTGGTGACAGGACATTAGAACTTCAAAGGTGCCAATAATCAAACTAGCTCACACAAGCAGCCTATTTAGGCATATCAAAACAAAACAAGAAGCTAGG